GCGATTATACCTTTGACCTACCACACACTCTCACTGTGGTCTTCTCCTCTCTCTCACACCTCCCACTTTCTGTCCCCATTGGTTCTCCGGGATCTGACAGCTCTTATATACCCTCCTGCTTTATGGGCAGGCCTGCTTGAAAAAGGAGGCAGAGCTTCTGAAACACGTTGCAGCCCACCCACCTACCATTCACAGCATCTGTCACGGCCCCTGTCACATCTCCCCTCCACTTGGTGGGAACTTTGGATGAACACCGTTGAGTCCACAAGCGGCTCCCTCCCAGGCTATTCAGCTGATATCAGCTCTACCATCTGAGAGAACTGTGGTCCTGCTGTTCTGCCTTATCTTCACATCCTGCATGCTGAATGAAGGAGTCTTAGATGTAAGTCATCTGATAATAAAGTTTCTGTTATAAACTACACTGACCTGGCGCCCTCCTTTCTCTTTTGCTTGTCCTCGAGGGATCCCCCATATCCTTGGCGAGAAGCTGCCAGTCCCATCGCATGTGTCTTGTTCCTTTGGTTTACTTCTTCCCCAATCTGCTCATCCTATGGATGTATTGACTTTTTGACATACAATTGTCATAACACCTATTGTACAGTCAGTTTTATTTCTTTACTTATCCATTAATGTGTACTCATTCATTACTATCCAATTCATCATTGTATGAGCACTGAATACTTGTGTTCATTTATTGATAATCATTGTATAATTCAGTTTGTTTGCAGGCTGGTTGGCAAGCTGAGCTGGGAATTTTTCTCTTTTGTTGTTTGACATGTGTTGCACTTGCATGTGCTCCTTGCTGTTAAGGCCAGTTATAGACTGGGGCAGCAGCCATTTTTTGTGCTGTAATACAGCCAGGCAAAATTTACCTTGATGTGGCCCTGCATGAAGGAATGATTTACTGATAAGCTTCTCTGATAGAGATGAACGCTCTCTTTGAACATTGCTGCTCAGGCTCTGTCAACTAAATGAGGTGTGCTCCCCTAAAGTAGTGAGACCCAGACATTTTGCAAAGAGGGGGAGCCCCAGCAGTGCTACTGGAACCAGCAAATTCTCCTTACCCCTACCATTTGTAGGGAGTGCTACTGGGATGAGGCCTGCCACACCCATACCCCCCTCCCATCCAGTGCACTGAGCAGGCTTAAATAGCTTTCTCTGACCTGCCAAGAATCTGCAGGGGGTGTGCAAGAATGTCCAAACATGTGGACTGGAAACAATCTGGCCAGGTTTCTGGGGAGTTTGAAAGCAGTTGCATAGAAAAACAACAAGTATGGGATCCAGGTCAAAATAGCAGAATAATCCTGCACAGATTCAACTGCAACATGAACAACTGCAGACAGTATGACTAGTTGGATTTGGAGACTGTGAACTGTGACAAACTGAACTGTTAAATGTTAAAACGCTTCTGCAAAATATTGGCTAACAGATTGATTCCTAGCATCCAAAAACCAGTCCACAAAGGTCACATAGAATTTATCTTCACAAAAAAACCCAAAGATAACACTATTAGAGCCCTAAATATTGATCCTCCACCCAATCAAGAGTTATGCAGTCAAACTCGATAAAGTCCAGAGAAGGGCAACAAAGCTAATAAGGGGGCTGGAGGACCTCAGTTAAAGGAATGACTACAAACATTAAGCTTCTTCTCTCTGAAGAGGGGATATTATAGCGGTATATGAATCCTTGAAGGTGACTCTAGCATTGGAAGGAAACATTTTAATCTTAGGCCTCTAAAGAAGACATGGGGCCACACAATGAATATGTGGATTTTTTTTTATACAACCTCTTGTCCAATCTCTTTAATCTGTAATTAGAGACTCCCTGCACCTTCTAAACACCCTGCAGAATTACAGTATGTATGGGAGGAATCGAATATCTCAATTTTCTTGGATATTCAATCCCTTTACATCTTGATCCCCCATGAGGTTGGATTAGCTGCATTCTACTGAATTCTAACCAAGGAGTCTCCATTGCACTATGCCCAATATAGTTTTGTTCTGGACAGTAAATAAATTATGTCTAGAGCATAACTTTTTTCCCTTCTTGGGTGATTGTTATCTCCAAATAAAAGTCACTGCGATGGGCACTTCTTTTGCATCTTCTTATGTCAATCTCACTATGGGTATATGATGAGAGTCCTACATTTGGAAACATAATCTTTTTGCTACCCATTTGGTGATTTTTGGAAGGTACATTGACAATATAATCATAATTTGGGATGGCTCACCATCTACCATTAAGGGCATTGTTCAGTACTATATCAGCAATAATATGGGTCTTTCATTTACCCATGTATGGGACTCCATCACCCTGGTCTTTGTAGATTTAGAACATAGGGTAAAATAATTTCCAAAACATATTCAAACTCACTTCAGGACATTCCTATTTACTTTAAGAGCTGCCACCACCCTAACTGGATAAATAACTTCCCAAAGGGACAATTTACCTCAAATCTGATTATATGGCTCAAAGTTCCCTGCTTGAAGATAGATTTCTAGACAAAGGATATAGTACAAAGCTTGCAGACAAAGCTCAGCAGGAAGCATTTCAAACCTAAGGAAAAAAACTACCACTTTACTCAGATATACAGTATCAGGCTTTTTACCAACTTTCATTGTAAATACAAGCACGTTGAGAATATAGTCCATGGACACTGAGGGATCCTGTTGCAGGATCCCAAACCTAAGGGCTTGTTCACACCTGACTAAATCTCTAACTCTTCAATAACGCTCCTATAGCATTAGTATGGGCATTTTACAAGCATTGAAAACGATCCCCAAACGCCCTATGCACAGTTTTGAGGCATTTTATAGGTATTTTACAAGCGTTAAAACTGCACCACAAACGCCTATAAGAAACTCTAATGGTATTAATGCCCCGCAAACACCTGCCAGGGCGTTTGAGGAGCATCACCATAGACTTGAATGGGAGGCATTGAAAGGCTTCAACTCCTCCTGACTCGACATGAGGCTTGAATTTTGAAGTGACGCAACGCTAACACTTCATGTTTTGATAATGTGAACAGCACTGTGTGCTTCCCATAGTGTAATTTCCATAGGCATTTGATGAGCGTTAAAAACACCCCTCAAACACCTGCTTTCAAAGCTAGTGTGAGCTAAGCTTTACTGTCATTCCTGTGAGGCTTAGATTCATTTATGAAAAGGCCCCTAGTATCAAAAATATCATTGACACTAGTAAGATTAACACAGCCAACAAGCCTTTTGAATATTCTCTGGCTACATTTTGTGAAAAAAACTAGCAAGGGAGTGTATCAGTGTTGAAAAAGAACATGCAAGATGTGTAATTTTGTATACCATTGACAAAAATCTGTCTTTTTCAGCATGAGATTGGAAAAAATGAATACAATCAGATCCTTTTTTACCTGTGAAACCATTTTCATGGTGTACTGTCTCTCATGCTGTCTGCAGCCTCCTCCTCCTATGGAGGTTGATTGAAGACGTAAATGTAGATCACAGTGTACCATGTCACTTCACTTTGAAACAAATCACATCAAAGGCCTCAGGGTGTGGGTGATGAGGGCCTGTCTTTTGCTGATAGATTCCAGAGATTGTGCAGTCACTAAATCTTATGAAATTTTACACCTTATACCTTATCTCCAAAAGAATTTAATGATGAGATAAAGGTTATTAATGTTTAATTTCTATGTACTTAGAGATTTGGCTTATTGATACATGGAATTTCTTCATTGTGTACTTATGCTTTATGGATTGTGATTGGTCCATTATGCAATAGCACTATAGTATACATATTTTGGGCTGTGATTTTTAGCGCCCCCTACAGAATTTGTAGTCATTCAGGAATGATCACAGCTCGCAGCATGGACAGTTTAGGTGACAATGTGTTCACAAGAACTCCAAATGATGAAAAACTTGCTATGTCCCTCAAAGACCATATGTTCCTTGATGTGGCTGAAAAGGAGATGTTTGTGGACCAAGCAAAACACTGTGTAGCACCCCTACCACTTCCCTCAGCACACTCTAGACTGCCAAAAAACAGGGAGCAAGCACAGAAGGGACTCCTTGTTCTACAGTGCTCCTTTGCAAGAAAACTTGAAATGAAAGAACATTTTCTTTATGCAAAAAATATTTGACCATGACAAAGCAGAATGTGCCCAACCACTGAAAGTGGTTGACGAGAGTTGGTACCAATCTTTGGCTTCTATCGCCCAAAAACACCAGGGCAGATCAGAGTCGTTTTTGATTCTAGCTCTCAGTATGATGCCATTTCATTGAATTATGTACTTCTTTGAATAATATGCTGCTAGGTGTCTTTATACATTTCCGCAAAGAGCAAGTTGCAGTTACTACTGAGGTGCAGCAAATGTTTTACCGTTTTGTGGTTAGAGAAGTTCGCCGCAACTACTTGAGGTTCCTTTCATTTCAAAATAATAACCTCAACAAAGAAATTACAGAGTTCAGGATGAAAGTACATGTCTTTGGAAATAGACAAATAGCTAAGCAGGGAGCAAGTGAGTATGGAGAAGATGTAAAACAGTTCATCTTAACCTCCCTAGCGGTCTGATTATGTCAGTATTTCTGTGCTCAAAGCAGTACATTTTTTTGCATGGATATATGTTGTTTTTTTATTGTAGGCTTGTAATTCTTAGGAATAACTCACTGAAATCTGTCTGAACAAGAGTCTAGTAAACATCCCGGGTATGATAAAATTTGAAACACAAAAATATAAATTATAAAATAATAAATAATCATAAAAAATAATAATATAATAATAAATTTAATTCAATAATGTAATCAAACCAAAAACACGGAAATTTGAAATAGAGCGCCAAGTTCGCACATCACTGAGCAAAGTCGCAAAAATGTTTTTTAGTGTCTGGTGATGAAGTTTCCCACGAATCATTATCACTCAATTCTGCAAGTAGTTCTAATTTACTATTGCAGTTCTCTAGCTGGTCTAAAATCGCTTTTGACCAAAGAGATGCTTTTTGGATGCTATGGACTTTTCTCAGTTCCAGGCAGAAAGAACAGTAAAAATGCAGGCAGGGCACAGGACAAAGCAATAGGGACAAAATGTATGTGAAATGGTTTGATACAGTAATGTTATACTATCAGATTTTAGTGTATTGAGTGAATGTCACTTTTAAAATTTTTTAATTTCCTACCGGTTCCATCCCCCGTACGTCCTGACACTCACAGGGAACGGAATGCTGGCATCAGCCAGAGGAGATGGCCGGGGACGCTGCAGGGGGGACATCACGGGAGCGAAGGACAAGGTAAGTGATCGAGGGAATCCCTGAGCAATGCTGCAGGGTAATCCCGAGTGTAGCTCGGGGTTACCGCTTTTGGTGCTGAAAGTTAACCCCGAGCTACACTCGGGAATACCGCCAGGAGAAAGCTAAAGAGATGCTTGCATGATAATTATAAGCTACACAAGGTGGCGTCCAATAGAAGCTCAGTAATGGAAGCACTTCCTGCAGATGACAGAGCTAGAGAGTTAAAAGACCTTGTTCTAGGTGTCAATCCCCTCCACCAGAGTCTAGGAGTAAGTTGGAATCTCCAAACCAGCAGTTTTACCTTTCAAGTGTCCAGAGAAGTGAAGCCATACACACATAGAGGTATCCTAGCCACAATGAACAGGCTTTACCACTCATTGGGGCTTGCAACCCCTGATCATAGATCACCAGATAAACCAGATAAAACTCAGTGGAGAACATGGGCAGAAGACTTTTTTCATTTTGAAGATTATAGTATTCCCAGACCCTATGGGGTTTATTTACTAAAGCTGGAGAGTCCAAAATCAGACTCCCTTCTGCATAGAAACCAATCAGCTTCCAGGTTTCATTGCCAAAGCTTCACTGAACAAGCTGAGGTTAGAAGCTGATTGGTTTCTATGCAGAAGGGAGTCTGATTTTGGACTCTCCAGCTTTAGTAAATAAACCCCTATGTGCCAGTGTTGCTAACATTTACAGTGGAAAGAAAAGTATGTGTCTTTTCTGATTCTTCTACTGTGGCAATAGCAGCTGTAACAGATATCAAGGTCATAGACAGTAATAGTTCATGTCATGTAGGCTTTATTATGAGCAAATCTAAACTAGCTTCAAGTTCAGTCCATACATTGCCACATTTAGAGTTATGTGCAGCCATTTTGTCAGTTGAGCTAGCAGAACTGCTTCTTGCAGAAACTGACTTTGAACCCGATACAGTTAAATACTACAGCGACAGCAAAATGGTGTTAGGCTATATTCACAATACCCCCAGAAGATTTTATGTGTATGTCTCAAACAGGGTAATCCACATTGTAAAATCCACTGAGCCAGGTCAGTGGCATTATGTTAACACTAGTCTGAACCCAGCAGAACACGGTACCAGACTAATTCAAGAAGCCGAGGTTTTTGGCCTTATTGATCCAAATTCTGACAGTGAGATCAGACCTGAAGTGACAATCTTAGCAACCAAAGTGCATGAACACCAGTTAGGCTCACATAGATTTCTTAGATTCTTAAGTTGGAAGTCTTTGGTGAGAGGTATAGCAACACTTATTCACATCAATAAATCCTTTTCCAGCAGCACTGCTAAAGTCTGACTTTACCTAGTCAAATGTTACAGTAATTCAAAGATATATAGTAGTGGCTAGGGGCAGACTGACCATTCGAGCACTCTGGCACTGCCCGAGGGCTTGGGGTCAGTAGGGGGCCCCATGAAATGCCCCTGATACCTTTTATAGGCTTTTTTGGGTGTGCTTTGAGTGTGGACAAGGACACGGGCCCCATGATCCCCAATTGCCCGGGGGCCCCATGAGTTGTCAATCCGCCCCTGGTAGTGGCATATATTTATACCAGGCAGGGAGTGTTCTGTATTCACATCATTGTAGGGAGCCATCTATTGGGCATTCACTGCAATTACACTCTATTGTACATTTGTCAATGAAGAGCAGGAAGTGTCTCAAGTTTGTTAAAAATAAAGATTTTCCATCTACCACTGTAGACACTTCCACTATAGCTTCCAGAAGGGCACATCGTTCAAGGTGTCCTTTAATGTGGTTTGTAGGTAGCTGTTTTATAAGAAATTTGATAATTGTATGCATTTATAAGAGACATATGTACAAGCATATTGTAAATTCAGTTTTTTGTGAATGTATTTCAGTTTTAAACAACTATTGACAGATGTAAATTTAGTTTTGAAATGAAACACTACGATGCTTCCGTCAGTTTTGTTAGCTAGCTGTCAGCTAACCAGTAGTAGGACAGAATACAGACACTTGACAAGGTATTCAAAGGTAAAGAAATTACATTCAAAACAAAGATCAGAATCATCCATGCATTCATTTTTTTCTGGTGAGAGTGAGGAATCCCAGGCACATCGATCTATTGAGAAGTCTCTAACGCTTTGGTTTGCATAGTGATCAGGGCTGCAAGCCCGAATGAGTGGTAAAGCCTGTTCATTGTGGCTAGGATACCTCTATGTGTGTATGGCTTCACTTCTCTGGATACTTGAAAGGTAAAACTGCTGGTTTGGAGATTCCAACTTACTCCTAGACTCTGGTGGAGGGGATTGACACCTAGAACAAGGTCTTTTAACTCTCTAGCTCTGTCATCTGCAATTGTCAATTATCACTGTGAAAACTGAACACAACAAAAACAAGACAGAAAAAAGAATAACTCATTGGAGCTTTGGTGCTGGAAGGATTTTGCGTGTCATGGACAGCCCATAGAACTAATATTTCAATTTTGAAAGCTATCAAACTGGCAAAATGTTGAATCTACAACTGTCCTATTTTAGTCACTCTGTTAGAAAAGAGAGATCACTGGAGAGGGAAATAATGTTTGGGAAGATCAAAGGCACAAGGTGAATAGGGAGACCAGCTACTAGATGGCTGGACACATTGACTACAGCTGTGGGAATGTCATTGGAAGATCTTACCAGACTAACACAAAACCTCCTAGGACTCGGACCCGAGTTGATAGTAATTAAAAAAATAATTTAAAAAATTTCCCCCGTGGCTGTGACCACATTCACATTTTTATTTGAAAATTTTTTATTGTACCTGTGAGCCCTAAAAAAAGGTCAGAATTTACCAACAAAATTCCTCTCCCCTCCATCCCCGATAGACTTTAGTAGGATTCGCTTTTAAAGTGGTATTAAACTTACAATAACGCAACACTGACAGGCAGTGTTTTTTTTTTTTTTTTTTTTTAACGATGTGTTACAGAGACAATGAAATAGTAACTTCACAGAATATGCCAGTAATACAACTTTGCTTTTAGGAATAACCAAAATAACAGCTATACCCTTCCGAGTAATGACCGCAAGAGACAAGTATTAGTATTTTTAACATGACATGTTACAAAGGTTGAAGAAGCCGGCTGATAAGGCCATTCACTAGCTAACCATGAAGTGATAAAAAGTCACTTGTCCTCCGGAAGCAATTACATTCCTGCATGTTCATGAGGGAAATTAGTATTTGATCACCTATCATTCAGCAGGATTTCTGGATACCGGGTGTCTTTCATTCAGGTAACAAGCTGAGATTAGAAGCAGTCTCTTAAAGGGAGTGCTGCTAATCTCGTGTTACCTGTATAAAAGACACCTGTCCACAGGAGCAATCAAACAATCAGATTCCAAACTCTCCACCATGGCAAAGACCTAATAGCTGTCCAAGGATGTCAGGGACAAGATTGTAGACCTACACAAGGCTGGACTGGGCTACCAAACTATCGCCAAGCAGCTTGGTGAGAAGGTAACAACAGTTGGTGCAATCATTCGCAAATGGAAGAAACACAAAACAACTGTCAGTCTCCCTAGATTTGGAGCACCATGCAAGATCTCAGCTCGTGGAGTGTCATTGATCATGAGAACAGTGAGGAATCATCCCAGAACTACACGTGAGGATCTTGTCAATGATCTCCAGGCAGCTGGGACCACAGTCACCAAGAAAACAATTGGTAACACACTACACCGACAAGGATTGAAATCCTGCAGTGCCCACAAGGTCCCTCTGCTCAAAAAAGCACATGTCCAGGCCCATCTGATGTTTGCCACTGAACATCTGAATGATGCAGAGAAGGATTGGTTGAAAGTGTTGTCGTCAGATGAGACCAAAATCGAGCTCTTTGGCATCAACTCAACTCTCCATGTTTGGAGGAGAAAAAATGCTGCCTATGACCCCAAGAACACCATCCCAACTGTCAAACATGGTGGTGGAAACATTCTGCTTTGGGGGTGTTTCTCTGCTAAGGGGACAGGACAACTACAGCGCATCAAAGGGACGATGGACAGGGCAATGTACCGTCAAATCTTGGGTAAGAACCTTCTTCCCTCAGCAAGGGCATTGACAATGGGTCATGGATGGGTGTTCCAGCATGACAATGACCCAAAACACAAGGCCAAGGCAACAAAGGAGTGGCTCAAGAAGAAGCACATTAAGGTCCTGTAGTGGCCTAGCCAGTCTCCAGACCTTAATCTAATTGAAACTCTGTGGAGGGAGCTGAAAGTTCAAGTTACCAAACGTCAGCCACCAAACCTTAATGATTTGGAAAGGGTCTGTCAAGAGGAGTGGGCCAAAATCCATCCTGGGATGTGTGCAAACCTGGTGGCCAACTACAGGAAACGTCTGACCTCTATGATTGCGGGATTTGCCACCAAGTAAGTCATGTTTTGTGAAGAGAATAAAATACTTTATTCCCTCATGAACATGCGAATCAGTGCATAATTTGTTAGACATGCATTTCTTTTGAATTTTTTGTGAGTGGGCAAACATTCAAAATCAGCAAGGGATCAAATACTTATTTCCTTCACTGTAAGAGCTCTTACAAGAGCCATTGGGCTTTCATATTGAAAAGCCAACAGTGCTTTAGGGGTTAACCCCAACAATTCCCCGGTGTGTAGCGCAGAGATGATTCTGCCCGTGGCTTAGATCCAACTGAAGGTCCCCCGGGGCTGGTTCTTCCTTGGCATGTCAGTCTTCCAGCAGTGACACCCCCAGCACCTTATTGCGAGTCTTCACTGTCGTCACACTGGCTCTGAACTCTGTTTTTTATTATAGGAAAAAGCTTGGCAGAAACCGACTGGGTTCTATACCAGCGCTTGACTATTTTATAGGTAGTCTCCTGATACTTAATGCTGAGAGAGGATTTCTGCTCGAAGAAAAGTATGCGCTCCTATAGGGGTTTGGTAAAAGAAACACAGGTCTCTCTCCCACTTTGCCAACAATGGTGGGTCTGAAGTGGCATGGAGAATCAACAAAAATTTGTCAGTGCTAGAAAAGGACCTCTGAATTGGATCTTTGCATAAACAGAGCACCTCAAAGGAATGAAGCTTCTGGGAGAAGAGCGTTTGGGCAACAAGCCA